TGCCTCTCAGTTTTCTGGATTGAGTAGTCAGGTGGTAGTTGGTAGCATTCACCCAGGTAGTAAATGCACAGAGTAATAGTATATTTGATTGTGTTGAGTTTGAGGTGCCTGAGGGACACCTAAGTGGAGAAGTCCTGCTTAGGTGCACGTGTGGTCTGGAGCTTTTGAGGGAGACTGGGGTTGGAAATATAAATATTTAAGAGACCTTGGTGTATAATTGGCAATTGAAGTCTATTATATTTGTAGGTAAATGAGACCATAGAAAGGTATGTAGTAGAGGGAGAAGAGGGCCAAAGATGGAACGCTGGGGTTGTTGAGTAATAGGGACAATGAAGATCCTTGAAGAAGATGAGTAGGAGTGTTCAGGGAGGTGAGAAGACCAGAAGAGAGGCCACAGAAACTGAGGGAAAGTGCTCTTCTGAAGAGGGTGCAACCAACGTGCAATCAGTGGCAGCCAATGGTGCACAGATTTCAAATAAGAAAAGCACTGACAAGTGGCTACTGGATTGAGTAAATAGGAGGCCAGTGGTGACACTGTTGGAAATAGCTCCAGTGCAGTGGTGAAGCAGAACCCAGAATTCACAGGATTGAGAAGTGAATGGATAAGGAATTGCAAACAAGAAGTGTTTCGTGTTTATGTCTCAGTGCCTTCTTGGTAAAGAAAGATACAAGGTCATGCAAGAGGGAGTTTTAACTATCAAGAAAGGATTGTCAAGAGAGGGGATGGTTTTTGTTTTAGTAGGAGAAATTATGTGCTGAAGTGAATGAGCCATGTGGCTTTGGCCTAGGCAGGAAAGCTTCTGCTTGCATCCACATAGGACGTGAGCAGGAAAGATGGATGCTAATGCAATTAAGGTTGCATGTATGCTAGGAGGGGAGGAGGTGTGGATGGAAGGATTATTACTTGGCCATTCTGTATGTCTACATTATAAAAGATGGTATTTAAAACCACAATTGGGCCATGTAATTTTTGTGGTGAAGAGTCTAGATTCGCTACAGGAAACTTGGACAATTTATAAATCTGTAAACCCGAATGGGAGAAAGGTTATTACTTAATAATATCATAGATATTCACTTTTATTTAAATAATGGTATTAGAAGATGAAATAGAAACTCCATATACCATTTTTTTTTGTTCACCGATCAGAAGGTTTGTTCAAATTATATCTCTGTTGTTGGCATTTTGGAACTTGAGGACAACAGGAATTTTTAGAGCCAGTTTTGACCACAGTGAAGTGGCTGTGAAGGCTGAAGGTCAGGAGTGTGATTGATTGTGTGATTAGAATTCCTTTTAAAGCAAATTAGAGGTGGCAGGTCTGCCACAGGTGAGAAGTACTGCAAAGAAATGAATCTCATTATCAGATAGAACTTCTTAGATCATCAAAAAAGAAGTTTAATGTGTAAAACACATACATACACACACACAACACACACGCACACACACACCCATGCATATGAATTCTGTTTGTGATTATTATACAACCTAGCATCTAGCCTGGCTTTCTGTATAGTTATAAATAATAAAGGTGTGTTTTATAGTTTTAATTCAGGAACAGGTGCTCTAATTGCAAAATAATTTATCAGTTCATTTTAGCCACTTATTATATTTGGGGTCTTCTTGTTGATTGAATTTGTGACTAGGCATTTGAGTTTGGGATCTGTGGGGTAGAAGGAAGTGGAGGAGCAGGAAGGAAGCCAAGACCAGTGTTTAGGAAGGGAAATGAGGAGTAGAGGACAAAGAGTGGAGAATTATGTGTATAGGTGTGTAGGAAAAACTCTCTCTGTATTTTTCCTCTAGTCTCACACTACAGTAATCATCAATACAGAAGGCTTCTGTGAACAAATGCATAGGGTTGTTCCCCATACACCAAGCCGAGGCACCAGTTGGGTGTCCTCTAATTCAGTTCTGACACTGTCTACCCAGAGATAGTGTCAGATCCCACAGGTTGAGGGCTCAGTCTCCATGAGTGCCTCTCCTCCCTTCATCCCCCTGCCGTCTCCCCCCGGACAGTCACAAGTCCTGGCCTCCTGAACTTCTGACTGATGACTTCCTCTTTGGGTGTGATAAATTTGCTGGAGAGGCTCGCAGGACTCAGTAATATAAACTTATTATTACTGGCTTATTATAAAAGATACTGCAAAGAATACAGATGAAGAGATGCGCAGGGCAAAGGTATGGGGGAAGGGGTGCGGAGCTTCCATGCCCTCCCTGGGTGTGCCACTCTCCAGGAACCTTCATGTGTTCAGCTATCAGGAAGCTCCCTGTATCTTTTCCCCTTGGGTTTTTTTATGGAAGGAAGCTTCGTGACATCAGCATTCCTTCCCCCAAAGTATAGGGTAGGACTCTCTGATGGAAGGGTCTTAAGACCCACAATCAGAAAGCTGGGGGAACATAAAGTGAAAAGAGGGCAGGAGGTCAGGGGCCTGCCCTTGAGGCCTAACACACCCAACATGGCCTAACACACTCACAACAAGGGCTGTGGGAGTTATGAGCCAGTAACTGTGGGCAAAAACCAATATATCTCTTAACCCCCACACAGATGGGGGTGTGGGTCTCAGTCTCAGAGAGTGGCATGAGGTAGCAGCCTATGGAGAACTAGTATTTCTCAGGAACTAACACGTGCTAGACACCAAGCTCTGTGCCTTCATATACTTTATATCCTCACAGTAACCTAGCAAGGTGGGCATTGAAATTTGAAGTTTCAAAGGAAGAAATAAAAGGAGGTGAAGAGATATTTTTAAAATGTCTTTTAAACGTAAAGAAAAGTAGTGATGTTGATGATTGTTGTTAGAGTTAGAAATTCTTTCAATTGTAATCGATGGTGTTATTCTAATTTTAGTCTTAGGTGTTTGAGTCAAAAAGGTTAAAATTGTCTTTGCAGCTGGTAACCTGATGCTAGCTGAACTCTCCTTTTATGTGTGCTTGGAAATTTAATAATAAAACATTTTAAAAAGAAACAGGCAAAGAAATAAAATAGTCTTGGTAAAGATAAAAATGAGAGTATATTTATGAATAGCCAGGGGACTTTCTTCTCTCTTCTACCAGATTTGTATGATAACCATAGCCTTTGAAACTATTTTGAGCCAAAATTATTAACAAACCATTTAAGAAATAAAAACAGTAGAGTCAGTTGTTTTCAATGGGTCACCTCAGCATTATTTAAGATGAAGACTCAGTGTAGAAATAGGTGGCTTCTTCATCTTCATCCTGTTACAGTGGGAATTTTCTCTAAATGAAGGAGTGTTCATGCTGGCAAGAGGCCCAGGGCTAGAAATGTTTTGTCGCAGAAGGTGTATAGCTCCAAGGGGGTGAATCAGAGGCTAGGCAGTGAGCATCTTTTCATGTAAAACACTGTGGCATGGACTGTGGGGAGCTACAAAGGTAGGAAGATAAGATAGCAGTGATATCTACGGAAGGCTTACTCTGTGCCGGGGGCACCCTCAACACTTCCCATGTGTTTAATCCTTACTGCAATGCCAGGACATAGGTACTATTCTTTCTCGTTTTTAAAAATTTTTATTTTTTATTGTGGTAAAATGTACAACATAAAAATTATCATTTTGGCCATTTTTAAGCATAGAGTTCACTAGCATTAAGTACATTAATGGTCTTGCACCACACATCTCTAAAACTTTCTCATTCAAAAGTGGTCAAAGGATATGAACAGACACTTTAGGAAAGAAGACATATATGAGGCCAACAATCATATGAAAAAATGCTCATTGTCACTGGTCATCAGAGAGATGCAAATCAAAACCACATTGAGATACCATCTCACGCCAGTTAGAATGGCGATCATTAAAAAATCTGGAGACAACAGATGCTGGAGAGGATGTGGAGAAAAAGGAACACTTTTACACTGTTGGTGGGAGTGTAAATTAGTCCAACCATTGTGGAAGACGGTGTGGCGATTCCTCAAGGCCTTAGAAATAGAAATCCCATTTGACCCAGCAATCCCATTACTGGGTATATATCCAAAGAACTATAAATCGTTCTACTACAAGGACACATGCACACGAATGTTCATTGCAGCACTGTTTACAATAGCAAAGACCTGGAATCAACCCAAATGCCCATTGATGGTAGACTGGATTGGGAAAATGTGGCACATATACACCATGGAATATTATGCAGCAATCAGAAATGATGAGTTCGTGTAGTTTGTAGGGACATGGATGAATCTGGAGAACATCATTCTCAGCAAACTGACACAAGAAAAGAAAATGAAACACCGCATATTCTCACTCTTAGGCGGATGATGAAAAATGAGAACACATGGACACAGAGAGGGGAGTACTAAACACTGGGGTCTATAGGGGGAAAAGGGGAGGGCCAGTGGGAGGGGGAGGTGGGGAGGGATTGCCAGGGGAGAAATACCAAATGTGGGTGAAGGGGAGAAAGCAAACAAAACACATTGCCCTGTGTGTACCTATGCAACTGTATTGCATGCTCTGCACATGTACCCCAAAACCTAAAATGCAATAAAAAGAAAAGAAAAACTCTTAAAAAAAAATAATAATAAAAATAAAAAAATTAAAAAAAAAAAACTTTCTCATCTTCCCAAATTGAATCTCCGTACCCATTAAACAGGAACTCCCCATCCCCTCTCCCCTGAGCCCCTGGCAACCACCATTCTACTTTCTGTCTCTGAATTTAACTAGGAACCTCATATGAGTGGAATCATACAGTATTGGTCCTTTGTGTCTAGTTTATTTCAGTGAGCATAACATTTTCATGGTTTGTCCATGTCGTAGCTTGTACCAGAATTTCCTTCCTTTTTAAGGCCAAGTAGTATTCCATTATCTGGATAGAGCACATTGTGTTTTCCATTTTTTCCACCAATGGACACTTGGGTTGCTTCTACTTTTTGGCTATTATGAATAATACTATGATCATGGGTGTACAACTATCTTTTCAAAATCCTGCTTTTAGTTATTCTGGGTACAGACCCCAAAGTGGAATCGTTAATCATATGATAATTCTATGTTTAATTTTTCAGGAACCTCCATACTGTTTTCCACAGTGCTGTACCATTTTACATTCCCACCAGCAGAGCACAGGGGTTCCAGTTTCTTCACACAGGAGGTGGGTAACTATTTGTCTTTCAGTTTTACAGGGGAGGGAGGGAAGCACAGAGAGGTTAAGTGAGCTCCATAGCTAAGTGCAGACTTGAATCTGAATTTGACTTCGGAACCTTAACTCCTGTGACATACAGGTAAGGTAGGGCACAGAGAGTCTCAGGGGCATGACTGAAGGCCCCTGCCTAGTAGCATCAGTGATTCAGAGCCTGCCGTCAGAGTTCATGTTGTGAAGGACTTGTAGAGTTCGCTCTTTTTAAATAAAAATTCTCTTTAACAAAAGTAATCTTTGCATATTTTTATATGACATTTTCCTGCCTTTCCAAATTTATGCTTTAAGATGTTCTTGTTATTTAAAATATTATCTTTAAAAACTCTGTAGTATCTTTGATTTCCCTTTAAGATTTTTGAGTAAAATTTTGCCTTTAAATAATTTAAAGCAAATATGCATTGGTTCCTGTGGAGTTTTTAAAAACATCTCCACTCTATCCATTCCCATCAGAAGTTTACTTTTAAATAAAACCAAGCAACAGCATCTAAAGCTGGATTTAGGTTAGGGAAAGCCTGGAGGGCATCAATGGTAAACATGGAGAACTTTTAACATTTAGATAAGGTGAATTTTGCAGCTTTATCAACAGAGAAGCAACAGCTAAGAAACTTACACATTTCTCTGTATTATTTTTGTTAAAGAGGATCTGTGTTTTTTCTCAGAGTCACAGTGGGGCTGCATCCATTCTGAAAATAGCACCGTCCCTGGGTGATGCTGCTCTGCTGGGCCTGTGTGTCAGTTCATGTCACTGTCTGTCTCCAGTGCTTCTTGTATTGTTGTCAGGGAGATGCGCCCTGCAAATACAGACTGAGTGGCTTCCTGACCCTGCCTCATCAGGGTTGCATTTTAAGGCTGGGAAGCCTGGTTGTACATGGTCCTCAGCCTTACTCCCAGGGTTGGGGGTGGGTGGCTTGTACAGTAGACCATCTCAGCTGGTGGTTTTAGACAAACACTTGGCTTTAGACAAATGCTTCTTGTCCCAGCATATCAAGGGCACGTGATCTTGCTAAGAAGAATTCTCTGATCTGGAAGATATCTTTAGAATAATCTCTAATTTGGGGATTCCCAGCTATGGCTGTACACTACAGTCCACATGGGAGCTTAAGAAAACAGTGATGCTAGAATCTCATGTCCAGCGATTCCACTGTAACAGATCTGATGTGTGTCTTGGTTACTGGGATTTTAAAAAAGCTTCTGCGATGATTCTAATGTACCATCAAGGTGTAGGACCACTGCTGTAATTTCTTTTAATACCTTGTTCTTTGGGCTTTAAATAAGATTTTTACCATCAAAAGACACAAAAATGTCAGGAAGCAGAGGTTGCATTGAGCCGAGATTGCAGCACTGCACTCCAGCCTGGGCGACAGAGTGAGACTCCATCTCAAGGAAGAAAAAAAGATACAAAAATGTCTTTTCTTAAGTGTCCTTATTAGCTGCGATTGCTGAAATTTGTTCCTCACATATGAAGGGAATTTTATCTATTTTGTTAATTTGTGGTGGAAAATCATTTTTATGTCTATAGAGTATGTTTTTATATTAACATGATATAGTGCGGGTTGATAAAAGATCCAATTTACTCTTCAGAGTCTTGCATTTTGGAAGATAAAGAGCGACTGTTTGCTTGCCTGGATTTCAATGCAAGCTTTAACTCACTTTGGGTTTTGAGGGCAGTTTCATTTTATAAACTAAAGACTATACTATGTAGACATCTGTGCTGATATTTCTGATAGTTCCTGAAGGTTTCTCATTTAGATTGTCATCTCCTCTGGGAAACATAGTTATAATGCTTTCTACACTCCTGTGTATTTTAACACTTAACCTTATTATTAAATTAGGAAATCTAGGTGTATCTTTGAGTAAACCATACAGTAAACCTGAAGGTTCTTTGGTTTGAAGGAGTGCTTTGTCTAAGCCCCTTCGGGGCCCTGGGATTCGTTTAAAACTACAGAGCTGTATTGGTGTAGTCTTATTTTCTATAACAGCAATGTCTGTCTTGGACTGTCGGTTTAAGCTTATTTGGCTGAAAGTTCATCAAAGTGTGGAGTTAAATATATTACAGTGGGTTGGGGAAGAGCAACTAATATAGAACAGTTGTGTTTTTTGTAAAACTAACATTCTAACACACACACACACACACACACACACACCCCAAGGAGGACAGAAAATGGGGATAAATTGGTGGACCCCACACAAGTAAGGATTATGTCAGATGATTTCAGTGAACCATCTCCTTCATGTTGGGCATTCACTCAAGCAAACAGATTAAAAAGACTTGGTCCCTACCCTCATAAGAACTTACCCAGGAGCTCCTTATGCTGTTGGTCGTTTATCTTCTTAGCCAGGTACTTTTCCAGATACCAGTCACATCCATCTACTGTCCTTGTCACTTACAGACTCCAGGTGACAGTCTTCTCACATGTCGACACATTTCTACTTCAGAACTTTCCTCTAGAGCTCTGCTCCCCTAAATTTGGTCCTAGGAACAGCAGAATCTCAGCCCCGTCCAAACTTGTGTTGTTGTGTTGTTTAACGAGACCTCCAGGCGACTTCTGTCTGCAAAATGTGTTAAGATTCAGATTTTGCTTCAGTAGGGCTTGGTGGGACCTGAGATTCTAATGGGTTCCCAGGCAGTGCCCATGTTGATCTAGGTACTACGTGGTAGATAGCAAGGCTTTGCTGTCAAGAGAGCTTATATCTCCCTTGCATCAGGGAGTAGCAGAGCTGCTTGGGTTATCTGATGACATGGGATGACATAGGCTAACCAAGTACCTCTGTCCTTGGGGAGTTGAAGTTAAAAAAAGTGCCTGGTTACACAGTTCTCAGAGTTTTGCTTGTACACTGAATCCTTTCCTCAGTCTTAGGAGGTAAATACTATTACTGTCTTTTACAGATGGGGAGATGAGGCATAGAAGTTAAGCAGCTTGAGCAAAGTCACATGAAGTAATCAGTGAAAGAGCAGGGCTCTGAACCAGGCAGTGTGGCTTCGGTCCCAAGCTTTGAGATTATTGCTGTGCACTTCCTGAGTGTGTGCGGGGCTACAGCTGTTGGCAAGTAGAGTGGGATCATGGTGCAGAAATGAGAGTGTCTTGGTTTGGGTAGTGGAGTGGTTCCAGAAGGCATGCTTAATTCAGGACTGAGGTCAGCATAAGGAGGGCTGAGCAACAGAGAGTGGGACTGTGTGGTTCATGTTCAATGGACAGGGCTAGTGGAGGAAGAAGACATGCAGGATGCCAGCTGCTGAGGAACAAGAGTAAACAGCATATTTTATTAAGCATTCATAAGTGTCAGATGCTGGGGTTTACATTTGTTATTTCATTTGACCCTTATAATGATTCTGTGGTGCAGGTACAAATCTTATAGAGAAGGGAACTGAAGTTCAAGAGAGTAATTTTCCCAAGGTGTATAGGGAGAAGAGTAGCTTAACTTGAATTTTAAGTCGGTGCCATCTGCACAACCTGTGTCTGAAGCTTCTTTGCCCTGCTGCTTCCCTGGCAGGGACTTAGAGGGGAAGTGAAGGTACAGAGGAGAGAAAAGAACTTGAGTATTGACACGAGGGTATAAAGAGGTGCCTGGACACAGGGATGAGGGTTGAGAATGCAAGAGCAGTACCTGGGACTGACTGGTTAAAACTGGACTGGAGATCCCTGACATCTTCCTGAGTAGGGTGGTGCCTGGATTGGCACAGAGCTGAAACTGCATGTGGGGTTAAATGGCCCCGAAGTGAAGTCGGTTACCATCCGATGGTTAAGGCCTATTAGGGCTGAGCACGCATATTTACCTCCTGTGTCTTCATCCTGGTGTCAGCTCAGGAGAGCCCCTCCTGCCCTCCCTTTGACCCTGCCCTCCCCACGACTCTGTTTCTTTGACAAATGAGTGTGCGACAACATTGGCTGCTCCCCAGACCCCTTGCTTCTCTGGAAGTGAAAAGTTGCTTCTGTTTGCCTTCCTCCATCTTTGTGATCATTGCATTTCTTGCCATAGACATTTCTCATTGCTTCCAATGTGAAAATCTGGGCTTGTTACTTTAACCAAATGACTGTACAGCCCCATGTGACCCCAAATAAATTTTTTAAATGGATAACTAAGCTGACAGCACGTGAAGTACGCCCAGGGAATTCTCTGCCTCGGGATGCTCATAATGAAGGGAATTGACTGGGGTTAGCAGATGGACACTGCTCATTTTTTGGCAATCACTGACAAGTACGCAACACCTCCAGGTGGCTCTCCATGGACTGTCCTATGTGGCTCAGCCCATGATGTCTGTGCGTCCGTAGAATGCTAATGGTCTCTCTTCCTCCCTGAGTAACATAGCAGGCTGCATGGTCTGGTGTGGCTCTTTATCCTTGAGATCAAAGGCATGCATATCATTTTTAAATAAAAGATTATCTTTTAATTATAGAGGCATTATAGCAGTATTAGGAAAAGCTTAGAAATAGAGAAAGGAAAACACTGACACTTACCACCCTAGAACATGGTAATCAATGTTTAAACAATTTTTCAGTGGATTTCATAGTTGTATCAGTTGTTTTGTGTGTGCATTTTCCCTTATTGCTGTATAATCTTCATAGTTACCATTCGAATGGTTGTGTAATATTCTGTTGTGATGTCATATCATTAATTATTTAACTCTGTTGACATATGGATTACTTCCAGCTTTTTATGGTTAAATTACAGTTTTACAGTTCAAGGTATACATTTGCACATGTAGCTATTTTCTTATTTTGAATCAGTTTCTTACGATAGGGTCTTAGATGTGACATTACTGGGTCAAATAGTATGAACATTTTTATGGCTTCTAAAATATATTGCCAGATTGCTTTCCAGAAGAGTGGGGGTAATTTACAATGCTACCACAAAGACATTCATTTCCCAGATGGCCAACTTGGTTAGGGATGCAGCCTTTCACAGTAGATGAGCTGTGTTTGTGTTTGTGTGTGTATAAACTTGTTGGTGCACTT